AAAAAAGGCTTGGCAGCGGGTAAAAAGAGGGCATTCTCAAGTTTTATAGGCATACTGGGCTACTAAAGCTTTCGGAACAAACAAAACATGTCGTCTTTTATATGATGAATAAGGTGAACAAAAATTAAACGAGAACAGTGTACCCGAGACGTCATGGCCGCCATATGATAATATGTTTTCCCAGTGATGTGTTAGCTTTTATGTTGAAGAAGTAAATTTTTACTTTCCAGTCAGGTTAGTGAACGATTAATGCTTAGACTTAGTTCAGTGGTTAAAAAATATTGCCCCTCAGACTTGGAAGTTTTAAAAAAAAGTTGTTATTCATTAAATGCATACAGTTAATGTGAGGCTGTGGTGGCAGAGCGGTGCGCTCGTCTCCGAAGCGGAAAGCCCGGATTCGAGGCTCGGTTCTGACACGGATGTTTTTCGCCCTAGACAGTCCGAGATCGTATAAGAACGTATAGTTTTCGCTCCATCCTGCCCACCCAGCAGTAATGGGTACCTGACTTCGAGTTGGAGAAGTAAAGGCGGTGTGGAAAGTAACTGGCCACCCTACCACATGCCGATGGCCCGGGAAGTTGTCTCACTAACTAGGCAATGTCCGGATCGGATGCGGGAACAACTTATCTATTTTTTTTTTTTTACAGTTAATGTGTTCTATAGGTCTTCACATAACTGCGACTACAGTTTGCCTGTACAAACATCAACCACACCACTACCACCGAAACAACATCATGTTGCAAGAGCTGCATGCCCCCTAAAACCACACAGACACGCACTCCCGAGGAGGGCTCAGAAAATTAGGCTACATACGTGTACATTAAATGGCCAAAGATGTTATAAATCTTACACGCATTTCTATGTATAACCTCTTTGGAAAAGACATGAATAACACTTAAATCACGATACGTGTACCTGTGATAGTATTTTATCTGCTTTCTCTTTGCAAACATAGCTATGCGATAATAATTTTATAGCTTTTTTGGTGTGGCTTGTGTGATGATGTGGTATGGTGTGATGTGGTGTGGGCGCTTACATTTTGCTCCTTGCATAAGATGGATAAGTTCTGGGTGCACCAAATGTGATGCAAGCAAAGATTCTCTACTAGCCTAGTAAAGAAGTTTTGATGCAAGTACGTAAGTACGTCAGGTAATTGAGTCTATGCAAATTAAAAAAGCGAAACGAAAAATCCACGTATATGTACTGTATTGCCAAAAAATTAATACATTTTTCTATGTTGGTTAATTGGTACAGCTGACGTTGTTTTTTAAGCTGCAATCCTTTTCCTCTTCTTTTTTCTCAATTTCACTTTTAAAACCCTTACTGAGTGTCAGAGTCAGTCAATCTTGCTCTAATTTTCTGACATGTCATATAACATTTAGAAGCCTCTAATAATTGTGTTTTAGTGAGAGGTGCTCAAGGACCTCACAACCTTACTATAGCCTACTGTATATTAACCTCCTTGGACTTGGAGGTGCTAAAAATCCTGCGCATTTATCCAGAAAGTTCGTTGAGGGTGATTTCCCTTGCGTTAGCTCCCTACCAGAGACACTAAGTCTCTGTCCCTACTAAGCCCTAGCCCTACTTCTGAGAATCCCTACTTTCCAGCCGAATTCTGAATTCAGTTCAGTAAGTTGTCAGTAAATCATCTATCGTTTAGGCCTAGTGTGCGTGAACTACACTGTAT